ATACTGTATAAATGGCCTGCCTGTGTTATCTGGTTTCCCCTTTCACTCCTTACCTGTTCAATAATAGCCAGGTTATTACTGCAGCATCACAGTGGAATATAGAGGCATGTTGAAAGATTTAACCTTTGGGGAAATTCTTAGACATCTCAAAAACTGCCTTGGTGTTATTCCAAGTTTATCATGATGGAATTCTGTGATTAAATTGCTCTTTGATCCCTTATTGGAATCAGAGTGGTTTCAAGAAAGTTCATTATTTTGTTGCCTGGTATAAGTAAGTGATAGCAATAAAAGTTCTTATCCAATAACTCACAAAGACATCTCCCTTCAAAGCTACTGTAAATACATTGATTTTTTTTTTTCTTTCATTTTTGGATATGATGTGTCAGAAGAAGTAGATTCTGAAAAGAGCTACTCTGTGGAACATTCCTCTTGGGAGAAAGCAACATTACTGAACAGTCATCAGCAATTTGAAAAATGGGCCTTTGTGAAGTGAGAGCCTAGTTAAAGCTCCTGATGGACAGGCAACCAGCATAACCCAACGGTGTGGTTAGCAGAGGGAATGTTCTCAGGTTTCTCTGAAGCAAGATTCTGGACAATCAAACAATGAGGGAGGGGGGTTGTAAGGAAAGGAAATATTAAATATTTTCTGGGTTTTGTTTTGTTTTGTTTTGTGGTTTGTTTGTTTTTTACTGAATTGAATGAATATTACCTGCAAGATATTATGTTTGTGTTTTTATTTTCAAAAAATAAAATTGCCTAGGACAGTGTTTTTCAACCTTTTTTGGGCAAAGGCACACTTGTTTCATGAAAAAAATCACGAGGCACACCACCATTAGAAAATGTTAAAAAATTTAACTCTGTGCCTATATTGACTATATATAAAGTAATTCTCTTGAATAGGAATCAAATAAACACAAAGAAAGTATTTTATAATTACTTTATTATGAAATATTAAGTAAACAAAATAGTGAAAAATTATAAAATTCTTGTCTTGTCTGCACCTACGGCACACCAGGCAACATCTAGTGTGCCGCGGAACAGCGGTTGAAAAACGCTGGCCTAGGACATGGTGTTTTTATTTTTATTTTTTTAAATTGATTTCAGAGAGGGAGAAAGAGATGAAAACATCAATGATGAGAGAGAATCATTGATCAGCTGCCTCCTGCACTGGGGATCGAGCCCACAACTGCAGCATGTGCCCTTGACCAGAATCGAACTTGGGACCCTTCAGTCCACAGACCAGTGCTATTTCCACTCAGCCAAACCAGCTAGGGCCATGTGTTTTTATTTTTAAATGGTTGCCTAGGACATATAAAATGCTACCTGAATAGGTAGTCAGATTTAGCAAATTAAAATACAGAATTTCCAGTTCCAGATTTTTAAAAAATGTCTATGTATCTCCTATGCAATATGTCTCATCTAAAACAATAAAACTGTAATATGCTAATTAGACCAGACATCCTTCTGGCTGTCCTTCCAAAGGAAGCCAGGGCTGTGAGGGAAGCCGGTGCCGGCAGCGAGGGGAAGGAAGGCCTGCTCTTGCATGAATGTCCTGCATTGGGCCTCTAGTATAGTATATAAAACATACTTATACTAAAAAATTACTTATCATCTGAAGTTCAAATTTAACTGGGTACTTTATAATATATCTTGCAACCATGTTCTTATAGTTTATTAAAAATTGTATTTAGTTGATATGTAGAACTGAAATTTCAACATGAACTCGTTGTTTTCTCCATTTTTAAATACCAGCATTTCTTATCTATATCTGCTGTATCCCTGCCCATCTCACTCTGTTTTTAGGTATAGAATTCAAAATATATTTTAGTTTTATTTGGGGTTCTAAAGAAGACAGATTTTAGACATCTAATTCAATTTCGTGCTTTTTTTATTTTTAATGCTCACTTGAGAAAATATCCTTATTAATGTGAGAGAGAGACATCGAAGAGTTGCCTCCCATACACTCCCAGACCAGGGCTGGAACCTGTAACCTAGTATGTGCCCTGCTCTGGAATTAAACTCACTTTTGGGCTATGGGACTATCATATATCAAACTGACCAGAGCAAGTTTTGTGCTTTTTTATTAAATGCATCTAAATATTTCCATTTTATTTTTTCCTTTAATGTTCCTGCTCATGTTTCAGGGTTCTCAACTTTTGTTTGTCTTAAGCATCAGGATTAATATCTTTATATGTGTATACAGACCAATGAATGATCAGTATGGAAAACATGGGCCTCTGTAAAGAAGTTTAAAAGTAGGGGAAACAAAGGCCAGAAATAAACTAAAACATAAAGGAGCTATTATTTTATTTTTTAAAAACTCTTTTTCTCTGAACTTAGTTTTATAAAGAGACTGTTATCCCTGAAAGGCGTAAGAAGAAGATAACTGTATCCCCCTTCCTGTGTCCTTTGAAGGGTGATGAGGAGCCCAAAAATAATTGTCTCAACAAACCAAGCCGATCTTGCTTCTGTGATCTATCTCCACCCAGAATGATTTCAGAAAAAGAAAAACTGCAGAAAAAAAGGATTTAATTTTTTTTATTTTGTTTAGAAGATTTTAATGTTAATTGGAATGAATATACTCCTAGAGGAGCCATCCCTACAAAAAATTATTGCACATTTATAATATATAATAGTTCAGCCCCCACTATTACAGTATTTCTGTAGCTCTTCCAATGAAGTTGAGCAGAAAATTGAAGTTTAATCATGTAGAAAACTTGACCTTCTGGCTTAATAAGGCCAAATTGAGTATATACAAAATAGATGTTTTCTATTCATCATAATTTAAATGTTTACAGCATGACTGATACTTTGCCAGAGAAACACAAAGGATCACATAAGTTATTTATATTTAAATGAATCTATTCTGATACAATTTCTTACTACCTAAAATTACTTGCTCCTTAACAAGCAGCTTTCTTTTCTTTTTTCTTTTTTTCTTTTTCTTTTTTGACAATGACTCAGAAAAATGCCTCTTCTGCACAACTCGGCATTCGAAGTACTCGAAAAATTGCCATAACGGGCGCAGGGAAGGAGTCCTGGGTCATGCCAATGGTGTGAGGTTAGACGGAATGAAACAGCCTTAAAAGAATTGGAAGCCAAAGTGCCTACGATGACAGATGGTCAAATTAAACCTCCCTCTCTCCTCATCTGATCTTAACCAGTGTCCGTTTAGCCCATTTTAGTTCTGCTAAACCATGACTGCTAAGGAGGGGTCAGATGATTACACATATTCTGTAGAAGAAATAATCATCTTTTAAGATAATGTCCTAAGTAGAGATGAGAGCTCCATAATAGAGGAACCATTTTCAATACATCTATATCAAAGTCTAAGAAACTCCCAGACCAGAACAAAAGTAAAATAGTAACACTCAAAAATCTGTTCGGGCCCTCCCGGAAGGTGATAACAGACAGAAAGTAGAGGAAATAATTGAATGTTTTGGCATTGTGAGAATGTATATTTAGTGTCATTTCTCAAAAGAATTGTTACTGGCAATTTCATAAAACAGCAAATAAATGTTATCCCTCACAGAAAATAATGGCTAATTTTCCAATAAATTACAAAACTTTTCACTTTATAGTTAATAGCCAAATTGCTTTGTCATTTTATAGTCTGAATTAAAGATAATTAATGTATTTATTTATCTATATTTTTTACTCTGAGATATTACCCAAAAGGATGTGATTAAATCCTTGTAATTAAATTAATCAAACCAGACTTTGAACAGAATTTTTTCTTCATTAGTTGGAAAGAGAGATAAGAACATACAGAGTATATGAGAAAGTGAGCTAATTCTACCAATCTCCTTAGTAAGATGGCTATTACACTTTAATTGTAAATTTAATTCTGGCCTTGGCCAGGTGGCTCGATTGGTTGGAGCATCATCCCATATACTGAAAGGATGCTGGTTCGATTACTAGTCAAGGCATATACCTAGTTGTGGGTTTGACCCCCATTTGGGTGAGTAGGAGAGGCAATCAATTAATGTTTCTCTCACAAATCAATGTTTCTCTCTCTCCCTTCCTCTCTAAAATGAATAAAAACATATCCTAAGGTGAAAATAAGTAAATAAATAAATATTTTTAACCATGAGTTCCAAGGAAAGCTAAGAGACTTGGTGGATTGTTAACTTTCACTCTTTTCATAAAATGAAGTGTAAGTTCTTCACTATAGTTCATTGAGATGCAATTAGTAGTATTTGTGTATTGCCTTCATTGGACTGCTTCCACATCTAGATAATTATGTGTTTAGATTTCTGTAGGCATTTCCATAAATGGGTTATAGTTTTCAAATATTCCCATTTTGTACAATTCCAAGTTTTAAAGGTGATAATTATATGTACATGACATAGTTTTAGTATTTCATTTATTATTGGGCATTGTATCATATGCCATCTAACATTACAGTGAGTGAAGTTGTTGAAAGAAGGAAGGGATGATATGAAAAGAAAGTACTTTTGTACACTAGATTATGTTTTGGCTTGCTAGGGCCAAAATATAGGAGCCTTCTCCACCACTACCACCATTATGTTTTTACTATCATTTTTTTAAACTAATACCATATGATAAAATAATAATAAAGGAAAAAAGAAAAGGGAATTAATCTGTCCTTTGCTTTTAATTACCTTAATGGTCATTTGGATCAGAGTCAGTCCAAATGTTACACAATTTGTGATAATAAAAATATCTCAATAAGTTGGAAAAAAAAAAAAAAAGATGGTTTTGGTGTTACATGGCTGAGTCAACTAACAAACACTTTGAGCTGCTTCTTCAGGCAGAACATTGTGCTCACTCTAAGATGTTAGGATAATAAAATAGGTATCTGCTCTAGAGAAGATCTCAGTGGGGAAAAGTCAGTCCCATAAAAGTTAGAACTTTTTGTGGTTATTACTGTTTGCTGTTAACTAATTTAAAGTGACTCAGTTATTTTAATATCATGCCACCCATAAGTGGTAGTAAGGTATATTTTCAAAGTTCAAATATTGTTTTCTTTATTACAGGTTTCTTTTCTCCATGGAAATCTCCAAAGCCTGTAAGTTGAAATTATTATGCTTCTTCCTTTATTTCTAGTTATTATTATAATTCCATTAAGCAAGAGTTGGTGATTGGGTGACGTTGAAATCTCTTCCATTTCAGAGATTCTGTGATGTCAAAACAAATCTGTGTCCCTATGTCTTGTATTTATCCCACAAATACAAATAGTTCATCTTACTTTCCTATAAAGGCATTGCTGCCTGTTTTTTAATAAGCATGCTTACAAAATGAGCATAAGCACTATTCATTACAGTGTACTGAAAGTACATTAGAAACTTTTCCTCCGCCCCCATCAGAAATACTATCGTCTTTATAACATGGAATTTTTAGAAACAATGCAAATGACAGGCCCAAAGGTCTTGACCTGCAAATTAAATTGGTTCCAGAAGAAATTTAGCTCTGTATATATTTCTATATTTATATTTACATTTTAATGTAGACAGAGCTAAATATATGTGTGTGAAAGTGTGTGTGTGTGTGTGTGTGTGTGTGTGTGTGTGTGTGTGAGACCAAACCTGACAATCACTCAAAGGCATACTTCTGAATCTTCTTCAGACACTGGTGATCTATCTGCCATCACCTAACCTCTCTGGGCCTAATCCTTTTATGTATCGTCCTGTGATTTTGATGCCAGTGTAGAAGGCTGATGGACTTAGTAATCTTTTTGTAAGGTTTGGTTAACAAGTTGACTTTGCAATTAGAAATGATCTTTATTTGCTATTAGATTGAAACTTAAAAAGCTTGGACTGGTTTCCAGGGTCCCATTTTATGTGTTAGAATACCCTGGCTAGAAATTGCAAAACCCAGGACTAGAAGAGACCTGTAGCAAAGTGACTCATGTTCAATAACACTCAGGGACTCACATCTTCTACCTACTTCTTTTCTTTCCTCTAACAGTAATCAACTCTGAAGAAAGTGCCCCTAGTGTAGTCAGTGAGTAGGGAATTCTTGAGTTAATTTTATGCTTCTTTTATTTCTTTTACTGAAGAAATATTGAACTACTTGATTTTCTCATTTTAAAAATGGAGATAATGTAATTTTGCATACTTTTCAAGTGTGATAACTGGCTTAATTAAATAACATGTCTTGAAATGGTTTGAAGATGTGAAAATAAAGTGTTGTTGAGCCTTTAACATGCCTGAGCTCCAGGCTTCTTTCAAGGCCGCCCAGAGCCAAGCCGGAAGGAGGAATTGACAGTGTCAGGGCCACGGAGCATCCTCACCAAGCATGTCTGTGTTTTGGATTTGGCTCATCTGGCCATAGAATATCAGATGGAAAAACCAGACCTATTGGGGCTTAGTGATAATGTGATTTTGAAATATGTATTTAAAAAGGTTTAAAATGAAATTTGTTTTATCCTGGCCAAAATCTAAATAATTTCTTCCTTTCATTGCCAAATTTAAATCTGTACTCTCTGTGGTTATACACACCTTTATCTAATTTAACAAGGAACCTTGCAACCTCATCATGGTGCTACAATTTTGCAATTTAATGATTTTCTTATATGTACCCCTTTTATACAAATTATGCCATTTGACATAATTACAGCATTTTCTGTCATTATGTAATTACATCCATAGTCAATAATTCCAAAAAAGGTTTTATAGAACTCAATTCATAATTAATCCTGAACCCATGCACCCATACAAAAGTTAAAGCTTGGCTTTTCAAGCTCTAGGCAGAGTGAAGATACAATAGATGACTGACCATTTTATGTCCCCCATGTAGCTGTCAGAAGTTCTTTAGGATTATAATAAGGGGCAGTATAGTGTGTGACTTAGGGTATAGGCTTTCAAGGCATCCTGCCTGGGTGCAAATTTTGCTTCTAGCTCTGTAATCTACACCGTGCTCCTTAAGCTCACAGTATCACGTTCTAGATCTGTATAATGGGGGACAATAATAATACCCCACTCATGGTAGCTGTGAAGTTTATTGGTTAATCCATGTATGAGGCTTAAAACAGAACACCTACCTGTTGAGTTCTAAGTATAAAACTTCAGTCATCCTATAAATCAGACCTCTTGTGCATAAACTCAACAAATAAATCACTTTATGAAAGGACACAGTTTGATAAGTAATCATTTTTTAAAAAGATATAAATATATACACATAGAATATGGATTTATACACTCCTCCTCCTGGTCCTGTGTCCCTTACTCTCTGTTCTACTGATCACCACATCTTGCGCCAGTTCCACATCAAGATGGCCACTTCCCATTTAACAAGTAACACACTCATTGCAGTGAGCTCTTGTTCTCTTTACCTTGAAGAGACCCAAGTTCCTACTTCCAACACAAAATCAAGCCAAATGCCTTCATCTCCTAGCCTTGCCCTAAAATAGTGAGTAGGTAGGTATATGTTTGGACTACCCCAGCTTCTATAAGAAGCAAACAGAGTATTTCATGGGGTATGGGGGAGGACCTGCAATTCTTCACAAGCCCTCTCCTCCCAGCGTGCACCCTAGAATCAGAAGGTAGGGTTTTAAAAATTAGCCCACCGAAACTGGTTTGGCTCAGTGGATAGAGCATCAGCCTGCGGACTGGAAGGTCCCGGGTTCGATTCCGTTCAAGGGCATGTACCTTGGTTGCGGGCACATCCCTGGTAGGGTGTGTTTAGGAGGCAGCTGGTTGATGTTTCTATCTCATCGACGTTTCTAGCCCTCTATCCCTCTCCCTTCTTCTCTGTAAAAAATCAATAAAATATATATTTTTTTAAATAAAAAATAAAAAAATTAGCCCACCTTGATTTTTTTTTTTTCATTCTACTGTTTGATGCCCTGTTATCGACTGTATGTCTACTCTATCCCCTGATATTTAGGTGACCGCTGTCTTGTAGTCAGGCATTCATTCATTCACCAAGGGCAGCAGAGATAAGAGTCTTCTCCCAGATATGGAAAACAACTGTTTCCATTTTCCCATACTCTAATGAGATGTTTATACATAGCTTAAGTATGGACCCCATTGGGATTGGACAAGGCCCAATCAGAATCCTTGTTGAGAGAAAGCCTGGCCACTAGCACAGCTCCAGACAGGTTACTGCCAGGAAGAGCAAGTGAGGCCAGGACCTAGGCAAGAGAACAGGATGAGAATCTAGGCTCATGAAGGTTGAGAGGAACAGTGAGCACAAAGAGTCCCAGCTGGAAAGCATAAGTCCAGAGACCAGGTTGTCTAAGAAAGCAGGGAGAAGTCAGCAGAGAGCACCCTTCAAAAGATACTGTCAGCTCAGCACTACAACTGCAGTGAGCAGGGGTGACCTTCTGTGTGGCAGGCAACCAATAACTCAATTTGGGGGTTGGGCTGTAGGACTGCAAGTCTGCTGTTTCTATCATTTCATGGGCATGGTGATTTTCTGCTCTACAGTCTTTTAAGAACCCTGGCTGAGTGACTTGAGGGTTGATGAATGTCACAGCAAGATGTTGTGAATGCTTTACAACTGGACTCTTGACTAATTTCCCATCTCTGTGCTAACGAAATTGTAGAATTTGTCAATCTGCCACAGAATCTTTCCCAAACAGTGCCCAAAGCATTATTTGTTCTATAGTTTTAAGAATTATTTTACAAATGCTAATATTTCACCCAAAGCATGTTTGTTGCATTGACTGAACATGATCAATATATATACCAGCAAAACTTCTGTAGGTATCAGCTAGCCCTGACTGAAAGATGGGAGAAAGAGCTAGAGAGTTACAACATCTCTATGATGACAAATGTGATGCTACTGCTTCTCAGACCATGTTTCTAATCTACTTACCTTTTAGAGTTTAGTATTATATTTTATATTTGGGGACAGAAGGGGGGAAGTCACAGCCAGAATGCATCCATGTGGTGCCTAAGGTCAAAGTGAAAAATAAAAAAGAATATGTCTTTAACCACAAATGTGGATCTTCCCATTATAGCAAAGATAACCTCAATGGATGACCAAAGGAACCCAGAACAGCATTCTCGATGAATTTTTCTATCAAATGAATTATGAAGTTTGGGCTTAAATATTTTTATTAAATGGGGGGGAAAGGTAGATAATTAGCTAAAACTCTTAGCAAATTTATCAATTATTCTTCTCAATGTATTATGTAAAAAAGCATTCAGTCATATAAGGTTTTGACCCACGGTCTGTCATTGACAGCCACTAGACCTCTCTGCAGTTCTAGATATTATTCTTGAAATTAGGGAATTGAACTTGACTAAGGGTTTTACATCTTTGTTAGTATAGAAACTCTGTTCAAATGAAATCTTTGTCGGTGGCACATATAGAAAACAAATGAAAATGAAACCACTGTCTTAGTGCCCTCAGACTGTTACAACAAAATACCATAGACTGGGTGGCTTACATACAACAGAAATTTCTTTCTTGGATCTGGAGACTGGGAAATCCAAGATCAAGGCACCTGCAGATTCAGGGTCTGGTGAGAGCTCACTTCCTAGATGGCCATCTTTTTTCTGTCACTTTCCCTGGCAGAAGGGACAAGGGAGTTCTCTGGGGTTTCCTTTATAAGGACAATAATCCCATTCAAGAGGACTCCATCATCATGAACTAATCACTTCCCAAAGCCATCATCATCTTGGGTGTTAGCATTTCAGCATATGAATTTTGGGGAGACACAAACATTTAGATCGTAGCACCAATCTTACCAATCATATTAATTGAAAGGAGTTTTGGTAACCCATTTCTTTCCTAATTTGCTGGTTCACTTGCCACAGTCTAAGTTAGGTGAGCAAGTCACAGGGAACTTTGTGCTACACAGTGACCTGTACAGTACATGGAATCTCACATCTTTAAAATATTTATCCTTGATAGGTGAGAGCTGGCATCAAAGCCCTGACCAAAATATAACCAGCATGAAAACAAAAGCAGGCCTGTCAGTAAGGGACAGAAAGATCCTCAGAAATGAGAGGAGAGACCATCAGCAGATACAAGAAAAATAGCAGAATCTTGGTCATGGTGAGCCACTAACTTCCCATTAGGGAGTTTGGCCTTCCTCCTGAGGACAATGCTGACCTAATGCAGAATTTTAGGCAAGAGAGTAACCTAATCTATTTTTTACACAAAGCAGGAAAATAGAATGTAATTTTGAATGAGGAATCAGTTGATTATTGAATGAAGGTGAAGTTGGTTGTGCCGATAGGTGATCTCAGTGAACCTGGCTTTTTCCTTGATAAAAGGCAGTTAGCTTTATCTGCCTCACAAGGTTGTGGTGAGAATTAAAGAAGTTACTGTATGTGAAAGAATATGGGAAACTGGCAAATGTCCCATAGACCTTTAATAAATTGTAGTGGTAATAACTGTAGCCATATTTGGGGGGGAAAACCAACAGATTAACAGTCAATGAGGCTTCATAGAAGACTTTGAACAATTCATAAATCCCAGATGGTTGTATTATTACTTATAAACTTAGAATGTTTAAAAATAGGAGATTGTTGGGATATGTATAGCTGTCAAATGAACATGTGCACACTACTTTATCTTTTTCTGTTTCAGTAAAAATAGTGTCATGCATTGGGACCATATTAGAAAAGGAACAACTCCATATACTTTTAAGTACTTGCATGTAAATTATCTTGAGATATATATTATTTTTATTTTATAGGAGGGGGTGGGAACAGACTCAGAGAGATTAAGTGATTTGCTGAAAATTACCAGCCTACAGGTGACAAGGTTATAAACATTTGCATTCAAAATTCAGGCACCACTCATATTTATCACTGGTACTTTATTGTATAGACATAGAATTCGTTCTCTCAAGGCACTTGCACCAAAGATTTAAAATGTTTCATGGAAGAAAAGTCCACAGGGAGACACATATGTAATACCTTAATCAATAAAGAAATTAAAAAAAAAAAAAAGTCCACAGGACAAAAAAAAGTCTAACTTAAAGGTGAGGATTGTCATACATAACAAAGGAAACAGCAAGAAAGAATATGTCCATTATTCTCTCTATTCTTTTTCACTTTCCAGATCATGGACCAATGGGAGAATCAAGGCAGTCCTCAGACGAGTTTATCTGCTCCGGCCATACCGCAGAACCTGCCCTTCCCGCCCGCTCTTCACAGGAGCTCCTTTCCTGACTCAACAGAGGCCTTTGACCCAAGGAAGCCTGACCCCTATGAGCTCTACGAGAAATCTAGAGCCATTTATGAAAGTAGGCGTAAGTGAAAGCCACCTAAAACAAGGGTTACATGAATATTAGCTGAAGCCCCACCAGGAGTTATATTGAAGCTGAACTGATCTGGTGTGGTTTTATGTTCTGAAATTCAAATAGTGTCTCAAAAGTAGGGCCAGATGATCTAAACATTTCTATATATATAAAAAAAAGGGGGGGGGCTGACCACTCTAGAAAAAACTTATAGCTTTCGGTTAAAGTTTACTTACCATTGCCACTGAGGAAAATCAGCGGCAATGTATTTGAGATGGGGAAGGGGGCAGAAGAGGTTGCTAGTTTTGTTTTGTTTTGACCAAATAATAAGGAATGCGTGGGATTTTTGTTTAATCTGATTCTTGAGTCTGAAATTTAGATTTTTTTTTTTCAGAGCCTAGAATGCAGGCACTGAAGAATTTGGGGCTGGGAGTAAATGCTAGTCAAACCCTTCCATCTCACAGACATGAAAGGACTGGTTTCAAAAGCAGCCCAGAGCCAGGTGCCAATTATTTCTACCACAGGCTTCTGCTTCTCATTTAATGCAGAGGAGCCCATTTGAAAGTTCAGCCATAAAACAAATTACGTGTGTGCACTTGACATCCTATTTGAAGGTCCTTCAAAATTATTTCATTGAACTTTATAAATATTAGACAACAAAAGTTTTTAATATTGCATGTGCACTCATTGTGTCCTCTTTCCACCATCTAACAGGTCATCTCTGGCAAATGTTAGAGGACAGGAATCTGAAGGGCATGAATGTACAGTCTGTGAGGGAAATACACAGCATAACATGAGTAAATGGATCGGGAAGCCTAGCGTAGTGAAATGGGTTTGGTCCCTGGTGCTCCCATTTACAGTCCACTGATTTCCTTTGATTCGCTATTCTGCCAGTGTCTTCCTTTCCAACTTTCTCACTGAAGCATGAATAGCAAGTTTTAAATTGTGTGTGATCTCAGAGGAGCTCAAGTCTGCTTGCTCTTTGATGAGCACAGGGGCCTAGAATTATGCACCCAGCTGGTAGGGAGGGGAGTAGACATAATACCTTCTCCCTATCCTCTTCAACTCTTTGTAAAAGTAATGTTGCTGGGTAAATTAGGACAGCAGGCCACTGAGCAATTATTTTTGTCGAATTTTTTAAATAATGGGCTCTTTATTCGTATTTTATCCTTCCTCTTTTAGATAAACAACTGAAATACCTTTGAAAGATTGTATAGCTAGAATGACTTGGCTGTGATAGAGTAAGAATAAAATAGTCACTTATAGCTAGATAGTACAATGTATAATTTCAGAGTATTAATGTTCATTAAACTGAAAAAAAAATGAAATTATTTCAGGACAGTTCTTAGTACCTTTTATGCTTCAGTAACCAAGTATTCATGGAATACTTTACTCTCGGCACTGTGGGGAGATATAAAAAATGAGTAATATGCCCTGCTCTCACAAGTTTGGGGAAATAAGAATGAGTATAAAGAAATGGGGTTGAAGACAGCAGAAGTTCTAATAGGAGAGGTAGAAACGAATTGCAGGATTAAAGTCTCACTTTGAACCCGTGGTTTGTTTAGTGCTTTAATTTGAGGGGGGGGGGCAAGAAAGGGGTGGGAGGGGGAGAAACATAGATATAAGAGAGAAACATCAATCGGTTGCCAATTGTACACACCCAACTGAAGATGGAAACCTCAACCTCAGTATGTGCCCTGACCAGGAATTGAACCTGTGACCTTTTGATGCACAACATGATGCTCCAACCAACTGAGCCACAAGGTCCAGGGCTGTTTAGTTTTTTTATTACATTTAGGAAACATCCAGAAATGCTTCTGCCTGTTTTTGTCCCTTCATTAGTCAGCTGCTTCCATCCTTTCGCAGCTTCCAAACCAATGCAAGGCTTTATTATCCAGGGCAAAAGCAATGTTGGTGTTTATTCCCCCTTCTTTTTATGGTGCCCTAATACTGTTGTGTCCCTTGTTTTCCAAGCCGAAATTGTCATGACCTTCTTTTCAACCCAGAAAGAATTCCTATTTCTTTAGCCGCTGCAATGCTGTTTCTGTTCATTGCCTTTCTGCTCCTCACCTGTAATAAACCAAGCAAATCAGTCTGCCTTCACCTGCCCTTTCTTTTCCAGTCTTCCTGTGGGAGCACTTTATCCCCATGACTCTACAGCCCTAGGAACAACCAACATCCTAATTCCCCACCTCGTGCCCTCTGCCCCCATCAGTGCCCTTCCTATGTCACTGCTGCTGCCACTGTGCTCACGTGCCCTCCTCCCCCCTACTTCTTGTTATCACCAACTCTCTCTAATGTTTCTGAGGTTACAGCAATATTTTCAGGGTCACAATTCTTAGGCAGTCAAAAGAGGGCGAGCTCATTTTGTTTCCCATCCTTTTCTATCATGTTATTTCATAACACTAAATGAGTGTGAATGAAACACAGAACCCATGTCAAGGTTAGAAAGCTTTACCCTGGAGAAAAAGGAAGCAAAAACAAAAATTTCCTCTAGTCTCCAGATAGCTGACCTGTCTACTCTGCTTGTGGACATGCTAATGTCTTGAAAGAGCAATCCAGCCCTTTGGCCTCCATTCACTTCTGGTTGCCAACTCTGAAAACATTTCATTCTCTCATTTAAACATTTAGAACAATACCCCAAAAAAATGTTTAATGAATAGGGAAACCTCAGTCTACTTCTCATCATCCTCAAATAGTTTTCCTATGGATCATGAAATGTATGCATCCAAACAAAAGGCCCATATTCAAAATATTGACTGGGAACCACTCCTCTTCTTATTCCTTTGAATCATATGCATACTATTTAGAGATGGGCCTGTTTATTTTTGTGTTCCCTGGACTTTTTTTTTCTAAGTGAAAAATCAGCGGGACCGAATGGAAAGGAGTCCTGATCAATGCTACCTAACCCAAGTCCTTTGACATTTTCCCTGGCCTGTAGTGATCTCGTGGTATCCTCCTCTGCAACCAGATCAAACGCTACAGAGATTTTCAGAGTTCACATTCAAAACTGTGTTCACATTGCAGTAACTGAATAAAAGGAGGCACCTCCACCCATGAGCTTCTGCAAATCGGAGCTACAGCACGTCTGTTGTATCTCAGCTGTCAAGAAGTGTTTGGATTCAAGTCACCCATCCCCTGAAAATGATGGAAATTTATCAAGTGATGTAGATGCTGCTGTGCCTCATTTGGCTCATAATTAGATTATGCTGACATTTTAATGTGCAGGCACAGGACATCTTAATAAAAAAAATGTTTTCCTAGGGAGGGAAATGTAGTAATTTCAAACCATAGGATACTGGTATCCCATGAAACAGGACATGACAGGTCCACGCTTATAGAAGAGAGCGACAAACACCTCTCATCTTCATGAGAGCTTCTGATGAGGAGATGGGACTGAAGACAGAAGGAAGATTCTCCCACCTGGAAGCGCATCAGACAGTGGCACCTCAGGCTCCACATCAATCAGCAAGAGTGCATGAAACACTCAGCATGTATCTAGAACTCTGCTGGGCACCCCACAAAAGGAAAACCATGAGAAGGCATCTCTGCTCAGACAGTGAAATTGGGAAACAAAGAAAATCATAGGAAAACAATTTCTGAAAGAGGCTGCATTACACAACATGGCAAATAATATCCCTATTTTTAACGTGCGAAATCGTGTAGTAAATATAGACAATAGTTTCAATACAATTAGATAATTAGACCAATAATATCTCATTCCATGTGCAAAATTGATATTTAATCCAAAGAATGTCTCATATTAAATACCTTTTAGTTATCAAAAATCTAGTTAGCCTTTATTGAAGAAGTCTATGTAAAAAGAATTTTTTTTGTACCAACGTCATTCCATATAAGCTTATACATATAAAAGAATTACGCCCCCTCGCAAAAAAAAAAAAAAAAAAAAAAAAAAAAATCTTAAAAGAAGTTTTGACCAATGAGGTTTCTGTGATTTTGTGTTAATTATTTAAGCATTGACCCTCTGGCATTACAAGCAATTTCTAAAAAGCAGCAAAAGTCTTCTCAACCCTTTCTCTACTCAAGACTTTTAGATAAATGTCACTTTTTTCTGGCTTTAGCCTCTCTTGATAATTGACTTCTTGCTATCCCCATTACTGGCATTTTTAAAAACTGAAAGCAAAGGAAACTAGTCCCCGCTGAGTTAACGCCATAAGCCATGCTATTTTATACTTCTGCCTCCTCTGTCCTTTCCCCATGCATCTCATGAAGGAAGGAGTTTAATTTTCTCTGCAATCACAAGAGGAAGGGCTTGTATTTTTCTTGGTTTGTGTGCTAACATTCTGAATCTTGGACTATTTACACCATTGCTAACCTGGAAGCCCTCACTGCTCTCCTCCTCCTGCCATTCTTTCTCTCTATGATTGCATCATCGATCGCTTCAACCACGTGTTTCTGATATGATAACATTTTATAATGGCCTGCTCACCCATGAGACTACCTACAGTGACTATGTATTCCAGTTTGTTTAGAACAGTCCTACCCTGTGTGGTCCTGGCATAATTATTAATAGTTCTCCTTTCACTCACCAGGTTGTTCTTATTTGAATGATAAATTATATGGCTTCCTTTTACTACATCATCTATTAAAGAAATAGACATCATTATTGTCCAAGAAAAGCCTATATCTAAGTGTACGGACCACGAATAAAAATTTTAATACCTACTCTGATAAATAATTTATTTCAAGTTACTTTATTTGGTGGACTGAACTTTTGCCCATACGTGTGTTACCCCTAATTTGAAGTAAAAGACTTATGTGGCGACTTGTCTTAGTAGCCAAACTCCCAGGTAATTCCCCCCACATGCAGAAAATTGTACATGTGTACAAATACAGAGCATGGCAAACTACGTAGAAGAAATAGGGAGCAATGTTTTATGCATTCAAGTACTATGTTATGGACTTCTCATTTTTATCACAGAGAATAAGTCAGATTCAACATCACAATCGTCACAGGGCCAAATGGGCATTAATTTTGTCTGTCTTCCTGACCCCTAGGAAAAATTATACCTATGTAAGTGCAGATAAATGTCTATCATGACTCCTCTCTTTATTGCCAAGCAAATGAACACAGAGCACTTCCCAAAGAAAATGACTTTGTAATCTTACAAAATATAGTTTTGATCATGCCAGTGAAGGTGATTTAGGAATGAGGACCTTGTCCTGTTGCCTCAGTTTTCTTTAAGACAGACTTATTCCCAAGGTTTGTCTCATCCTCGGGTCATGAGGCCCATTTATTGAATATACTGCTCCTCACTGTCGGCTCAAAAGCTGGAGCAGACAGATGAAAACAGAAGGAGGCAAAGATCAATCCCTCTTCCCCGAAACTCTCCCCTCATGAATCTGCACCTTGGCATGAACCCAACTTGAACTAGGACTGAAGTTTTCCAAACTTTTTTCTCTTCACGTGGAACCTTAGTTATTATCAATAAACAATTTATGAGGTACAATATGTCCATACTCCTTTGCAGTAAGACATCATTCAGATGTGAGATCATAAAAATGTCAAGGATCCATATGGTATAACGAGCCTTCTGACCTGACCTCTTTGAAATAGAAATGCCTCTGGAATTTCTTCAAAAGGAACTCACATAATCACTTTTTCTTTCCATAAATTAGGAAGCATTACCCCATAATAGGCAGTAAGGCTCACACCAAAGGTGGCAATCGAAAGTAACCACAGGCCATTAAAGAGCATAATGGAGGAGCAAACTGTATTTTAGCGGTATACTTGACATGAAATTATAAACTGTAGCCGATCAAAAATGGACAATTGTGCTTTTCACATCTATGGTTTTTATTCTGCTCTTTTGTTGTTCATTGTTCATTGTGGAATTCTTTCATTGTTCGGTATTATAATGCTCATATAATTCATGGCTAATCACAAATGGGTGGTTGATTTTCAAAACTATCAATTTCTCTGCAGCTCTTTCTTTGTTATTACTGAGCCAGGGTTGCAGTTTGCATTGTCTCCCATACTAACAGCAGAACCGCCTGGGGAGAAGAGGCAGTATAAAAATACTATCCACCCCAGCACAGCACTGGAAACACTAAGCGGAAACTGATGGGGACAACCACATGACACTAGGTAGAAAGGCACATGATGCATAGTGCTCACCACCGGAGCTCCAAATCCTGTGCAAGCACTTCTACTTGAGCCTCCCTGTCTCCAGTCTCCTTTGCTTTTGTAATTAAATACCTAATATGGTCACATTGGACATATCTGTAGGTTTGGAAAGATTTGGATAAATTTATGGATGCTACAGCTGCAGGCAGCCTGTAAGTAATTATAGAAGGCTACCTGACCTTTTTAAAGGACATCCTCAGGTCTAAACACTGCTACATCAATCCTACCTCATCTGCCCGGACATTGCTGGTGTCCAGTGGCCTTAAAGTACCACCCACAAATGTTCTCTGGAGTGCTATTGAAATATTAAAATAAGATGACCTGCAAATGATAAGACACTTTTACCAGTGAGTCTAACATAAGAATCATAAATAAACTAGAAAAAATTAATAATATTATCATTTTAAAATGTCTTCAACTGTACTATGGAAGTTAATTTCATCCACCTTTGTCCCATGGAAAATCGTTATTGCTGTTTTTAAAATAATTTATATTATGGTTTAATCTGTGTAATAAATTTGCCTTTCAGCTAGATTTTCTAATATATCACATTATGTATCACTTTATAGTTATATTGACAAAGAAGATCAGTAAATTCAGTTGTCTTTGCCATTTTTAATATGTAGATTTTAATTTGGAAATCTAATTTCAAAGATAATATTTTCAGGTTGCTTTGCAAATAACTATGGTAATATTTATATTTCTAACAGGTTCCTTTTAATAAAGTTACTATGATATGAGTTAAGTAATAAATAGATACTGAAATAAAAGTTAGGTTGGGGACACATTTTTCACATGTATTTTAAAGACTAGATCCAATCCAGTAGCTTATAAATTTATTCCATTATTGTTCAAACCTTAATGCTCCAGGAATCAGACAGAAGATAATGGGAGGGGGGGAGTAATGTGTGAAGTAAACTCTAAAATCAGTCCTTGATTGAAAGTTATTTGGTATGTCAAAGCATCTTGTTGGTAGCACAAGTTGACAATGTAACTGAAAGGACTTTCATGAATAAATATGAGACCATCAGGCTGAAGTAAACTGAGTGTAATTGCTGGATGACAAGAAGGTCCTACTGAGATTATGATAATATGAAATGTCAGGCTTACAACTAATGGAAGTGTTTAGTGGTAGCAGTCTCCCGATACCGCTCTCTCCTTCTGATGAAAGTGCATTTCTCAATTTATAATCCTAAGCAGTCACACTACACATGGAGGTTTAAAAGAAAATAACAATTCTGCTAGACAACTAATTTGCCTTTGCTGTGAAAACACAGATTGCCTGGCAGGTGTGATCCTCCTGCCTGAGACTAGCTGTGCAGGGTCCAGCGGGAAAAACGTCAAACACGGAAGGCCTCCAACCCCCTCAGTGCCCACACAAGGCTTCTCTTTTTGTTTTCATTGTTGAATAGTGTAGAACTCTATTTTAAACAAAGTTTAATTAGTAAGTAGTCAGAATTTGGTCTTATTTTAATGTTTTAAATTTAATGACATCATGTTAGTGCTTCATATATGTGTGTGTATATACTTCAGAGTGTGTTCTAGTATTTTATACTCACGTTCATGAATTTATATGTAGCATAGATATCATAATTCCCATGAGCAATCTCTATTGCTAAAATGAACCAATTTAACTCAATTACTGATACATAAGTTCAAGTATCCAGAGTAAATATCAAAATATTTGGACTGGTATATAGAAATCATCACAATCGTTGTTTGAATTTTCCACGTTTAATTATAATACATAGTTGATGTCACAGTATCATAACATGATTTTAAAGCACATGTATTTGTTGTGTATATTTTGGATTCTGGATTGACTTTACTTTCAAATAAGCATTCATATAATGAGAATCAAAGGTTATTATTTGGAAATGGTCATCTTTTTTCCATTCTGATCTAAAGGAATTCAGGTTTTTCTATTTTACATGCATGTAAAATAAATACATTTATAGACATGTTCATATACATAAAACAGTAAGTCTGTCCACTAATTTCCATAGATTTTAGAGAAAAAAAATAATCATTAAACATGAGCACAAATTGGGGATGAGATATAATATCAACAAAAAGAAAGTAAAGATGAATTTTAAAATGCCATAAACGAGTTTCAATTTTAATTCCCCATTTTCCCATCCAGAACAAGTGCCACCAAGGACCAGTTTTCGAATGGATTCCTCTGGTAAGTATCCTCCAGTTCTCACAGTCCTGTGAATGATGTCTTCCATTTTGTATAACAAATCATTCTTTTGAGTATTATCTCTTAATTAGTGTGTAATCACTGTGCTAATTTTATCCACCTACAAAAGCATGTATTTAAGATAGAAAGTAAGTTTCATCAAGATGAGCCTAAATGACTGTCAAGGATAAAAAAAGAAAGAAAGAAAGAAAACAGTCATATTTATTCATTTTTTTCATAAAATGCTTTAATTAAGGACAAGATTAAAAAGCAGGTGACAAGGAAGGACACCAGACTGACTAGATCCTCTAGCCATGTGTGCCTATTGGGACTTAAAATGTGTCTACTCTGAGTTTGGATATGCTATAAGATGTGAGTCAAATCTACACCAGATTTCAAATACAGTACAAAAGAAAATACAGAAATGTATAATACCTCATTATTTTATATTGATTAAGGCTTAAATAATATTTTGACTATATTAGGTTTAAAATATATTATTAAATTTTATTGTACCTGTTTTGTTTTTGCTTTTTAAAATGTGTCAACTAGAAATTTTTTAATTACTTAGGTTGACTACATTTTATTTATAGTGGACATCCCTGCTCTAAATATATATAAATAAGAAGCTAGAGTATGTAAAGAGATTTGCAATTTAGACATTTTCAAAGAACTGATTAAAAATTTTGCTAACATAGAATGAAATTATTTTCACCTCAATTAAATATCTATATAAATTTAATTTTTAACCATTCCAATTATAAAATGCTACATTTTGATAGTTTTTAAGTTAGACTAGAATATTATAATTTCAAATATAAGAGCTGTTAATAATAATTAATTTACTTAAAAGGAAAAGAATTTTGACCTAACCATTCTGAAAATACTTCACAATTTGGATTGGGCTAAAATATTTGATGTTATTGTGGAAATGAAGGAAGGAAAGGAAGATTCCGATTTTTTTATTCCTAGGAAGTGCTTTGAACAGCTGATTAGAGCACTGAATTGAAAAGCAGAACACTGAAACAATTTCAGAAAAGAGTGTTTTACAGTAATAGTACTATTTCAGGTCTGTAGGCTCATAGCACACATCTCTAGAGTGTTTCCATGATGACAGCTCATTACCCATCTCAGCATGTTCTAACACCCCCCTGGAGAATGTATGTGCTTGAGATCATTTCATTCTGTAAGTTTCCATGTCATTTTTTTTTTTTTTGGATATGTAGAAAATATAGCATTTTATCCTCAAATACTGTCCTCAAATATTTGCTTATCTTGGTCTGAAAATTTTTATAGCATGATTATTCTTATATGCTGACGGGGAAAGCCTTATAATTTTTAAGAATATCTTGTGCCTAGAGGGAAAAATGAGACCTGGTAATTACAGTTGCAAAATGAAATCAGGTCTTAATTTGAGATTCCAAATTTCAGCTTGCTAGCCACAGCAGCACATTTCTTTAAAAATATCAGCTTCTGAAAGTACTTTATTTAAAAACAAAAGAAGAAAGGGAAGGATCACCTAATAGTTTAGATTACCTTGATGTGTGTGCAAAATACAGTTTTTACACTTCAAAAGATACAAGTTGTTTAAAAGAGAAGAATTATAGTGTAATTGAGTATATGCAAGACAGCTTTTAAGAAGATAACCAATCTAAATATTTTGTTAATTGTCCACACAAGTTATCAAAATATTTTGGAAAATTAGACTACATCTAAAATAAACAAATCTTCTATAGTATTGCTCACATTTATAAAATGACCTTTATCCAATTCTGTATCATGATTTTTGACTCAGACATATTTATCATAATTATGAGGTATTTTGTTAACTTTAGCTGCATAAGATGCTTAGGTACAGAGGCAGAATTGGTAATAGGAATTCCTAAATAATGTAATTTTGAAGCTAAGTGATAATTTCACAGTAGAATAATGCTCTGGTTTATGGGGTCTGCTAGATTGGTATCTTAAAACAATTAAATTCAAGAAACATTTATTTGGCAACTTCTATAAGCTCTATACAATAGAGTACTATAGATAGACAAGGATAATTTTGTCATCACTAAGAATGTTCCTGAGAAACAATGAATCCATGGCCATGATCTTTGAATGGAGAGCTCTACCCAAAGACAAGAGATCGAGGGCATGAACTATCACAGAAACCAAGGGTAAAAGCCATTTCCAGAAGGAAACCTTTCCTTGTTTAGAAATTTTTTTAAAAAATTGAGATGGAAGCATATGAGATCTTGCTTCTTGGCATGTCACCAGTCTGACTCGAATAAACTCATAAAATTTTTAAAAAGAAATCAGGGGTCATAAAGGATATATCAAGTGAAGCACAGAGAATGAGGAAAGAGAAAATGGCCATTCAATTTGCTCATTAGAATGTCATCAATGGCCTTAAAGAGAGCAGTTCAGTAATGCCAAAAAAGCAGAAACCAGACTGGCAGGAGTAAGTCAGAGATGAGAGAGTGAAGATGAGGGAGTGAACAACCCATTAAGGACTATTCTTCCCAGAGAGAAATGGGTATGTAAGTAGTGGGTGTTTAGGATGGGGAAATTTGAGTTTATGTGAAGGATGAGGGAGAGAGCTAAATAGAGTAGGAAATGGCTTCTACTACAGCAGAAAAATATCTCACCACATTCACATTACTAAAGGTATAAAGGGAAAAAGTAAAGGGAAGGGATTCTTTTAAGAAAAAATGTGTTAGCTACTTATCTGGCAATGTTATACTTGAGCAATAGAAACTATTTAATTTCTATTTAACTTGTTCTGCATTTGGAGGGCATTGGAAACCCAGCAGCCAGAGACAACATAATAACCACCTATGATTCCTGATTCTATCCTCGTACTTTCTTCCCTAGACCTCTTTACAAAGAAATGCCAAAAAATTAATGCTCTTTCCAGGAGGAAAAATTGAATGAATTCAGTCTCTGTGCCAAACTGATAATAAGCTTGTGGTACTTATGCTTTAATTAAAACACGAAAGGGGATTCAAGTACCAAAATTTAATTGACATGTTTACAGCAGCATCCCATGTGCCAAATTAATCCATAAAAAATGCTGTTCTTTGCATTTTGAAGCTTGAATCATTCATAAAATTAATCGGTTGTGTTTAGTCACCCATCCTTTTCCCTAAAATTGTGCAAAAGCCATATCTTTCAAAATCTAGACCAAGGTATATGTAACATTGATACTTTTCTGGAGTCTTAGTGAGAAATAAGAATCAGCTTTGAAATTTGACTTTTCTTTACTATGAGGAAATTGTCCTGATACCTGGATGTGGTCACCATTTGCTACTTTTAAACGTGTTTGCTTTTTCAATATCAGTGGGAGCCCAGGATAAATCAGGACTTGTAAATCCCATTCCTATAGTTTTCCATGGTGGTCATGTGTCTTAGATGAATATCTTAAGCTGCTTTATTTTATAATGCCTGAGGACCCTGACCCTGACCCTGACTTCTCAGGCAGAACAACACTGGCCATGCGTGGCCATTGAACACGAATGTCCAAAGAGTATTCTGTCTCTCTTTAGTCCATTTCTTCACAACCTCTGCCTCATCTTGAGGGTATCCCTGACAGTTCTGTAAAAAGAGCTGAGGAAAAAGGTGAGAGAGGGGGGGGGGGGGGGAGGGCATGGAAAGAGAATAAATAAGAAAGTAGAAGAGGAAAAAATGATGCTGATAGGAGCATGGTTGAGTGACATCCAAAGTGACTGAGGTCCCACTTGGTACCCACCAGAACCCTTTATCTAACAACCTTGTAGGCCCATGGTTTTCAATTCAACCAAGGGGAGGTGTGGTGGTTGTTAAATTCTGTCCCAATGGAGTGAAGAGTTGGCCCTTAGATTTCTTTGCATTAAGTTCTTATATTAAGAGAGGTGAAGCATGATAAAAATCATTTTAAACATGACATCAGGCCAGAAGAGTAGCTAAAGGGAAATATCAAAAACATCATAAACTTTCAAGAGAACTAACAAAGCAAGAAGGAAAAAGAAAAAAAAAAGAAAAAGAGCAATGTCTCCCAGCTTTGTGCATGTAATTGTAGTTATTTTCTAAAGCCAGATTCAAATTGGGGGTAGAGGGATAAACCAAAGAAAAATTATCTTTCTGAAAGTTCTTATTTTCCCTAAGAAAAGAAAAATACTACTGCTTTAAGGCACACTCTATCATTTAAACTTTTTTTTTCCAGTTGACTATTTCTCTAAAGTTTCCATGCCCTGCAGGCTCTGAGTCTGTGTTCAAAATTAACAAAGAAACAGAAAACAAAGCACATCTGCTGGCATGCTTTTCTAATGGGCCTTTTGTCCTCTCTCTGCTTGCTCATGAACCATGAGCTGGCCCGATTCTGCTTGGAAAACTAGAGGGTGGAGATGACATGGTTGATGCATATCACCCTATGTTTGAAATCAAAGTGATCAGAGCAGCAATCAGAAGATGCTAATGTCACCAAAATGTGCACCAAAAATAGGAGGAGGAGATGGATGGATGGATGCCCCACTCACATCTGTTCTTCAGAGTTAAATAAAATCAACTACCTAATATGTACATTTTTCTACTAAAAAAAAAAAAAAAAAAAGTCATTTAGGAAAACATTCCCAGTTGCCCCAAGCATCACAGCATTCTCTGACACAAGACAACTCCCTTGCATTGCCGGGATTGCCATAATTTCAGAGTTTGCATGGGGAAAGTTTAATTTAGTAAATAAAATGAATCACACAATAAATTCCTCTTATACTCTTACCGTTCCTCATGCTCTGTGGTTTGGTGCTGAAGCTATTAGAAGAACAATTTCCCACTTACCATACTCACCAGAGATGCAAAAATGAGAATATTCATGAGAATAGATTGAATGTTCTGGTTAAATACATTCTAGCTCTACTATTTTAAGTGCCAAAAAATATGTCATGCTCTCTTTGAATTTTTTATGTATACATGGTCTAGAGTCCTCTAAGCTAAAAATAACTGAAAAAGGAGATTGCTGGGAGCAATCATATCACAACCAACTTTTAGAGGTTTGAACAGTGATTTGTAAAATCTGTCATCTTCTTATCTCCTCTGGCCTTTCTTCCTCCCTTGGGAGAAGTACGGATACCTGCTGTGATTGTGCAGGGCTGCTCCACCTGCCTGCAGAGTCCCAAAATCTTAGCACACACTGCAATGTGTGACTTCCTATGTGGTATTATAGATCCCAGGATAAACTGAGTTCAAAAGTCAATTCTGAATTGTAGAGTGTAGGGCAAAGGGTTTTTGTGTTTTGTTTTGTTTTAACCTTTTATCACTCAGCTCTCATTAACTACTTAACAGGACTTGAATTCTCTTAAGTTATCTCATCTTTAAAATATGAATGGTTATACAATTCATAAGGGATGACTCACGCTTAGTCTTCTTTGAGTTTTTTCTTAGTCGTTGAGTCTGTTTCTCAACTATGACTACTGAGTGGTCTAGACATAGCTTCCTATCCCATAAGGACTCTCTGAAATCTCATCCCAATTTTCAAAACCATCCTGTTTAAGCAAGGAGAATTTAACTTAATATTTGCTTCTATCAGTTCTAATACCTCCTTTAAACTATTAAGGCCCAGAGATCACTAAATACTTCTTAAGCAAAGGATGGCTTGAAGTATTCCCCAAAGTTGCTACTCGTCCATTGACATCTGAGCAGTGACCATGAAAGCATGTATGTACAACTCAGTCAAGAGACTTTTTCCCTGAGGAAGGTTCAAAGGTCCAGGGGATGGGGAAAAGCATAAATTACATTTAAATAGTCAAAAGATTTCTTGTAGTTTTAGTTTATTTATTCTAGGGTTGAAAAAAATGACATTCGAGAGAGTTTCCCAGCTTATTTTTCAGTACATTTCTATTCTTTCAGCTAACTACAAAAAAGTATCCTCTTGTAGTTTACTTTGAAAACACTAGTGAAGTCAATGGTGAATCTACTCATGGCTTCCACATTTCAAAATATTTGGAGGTTGAGTCCACTTAGAAGTAGGTGAATTTTAAAAAACCTAAAGGAGTCTATCAGAAAATAAAAAATTTAGTCAAACCTCAATACAGAAAAGTTTAAATTCTGTATTATCTAATTGCTACAATTTTAAAAGAAATTACTTTTGCTAGGCCTTATTTTAAAACCCATCCTCTGCTCCCCTCCCACCACACACATTAAACTGAATGCATCAAGTTATAAACATTTGTAAATTACTAGGTAAACTTTATTAGGTATTTCCAAGATATTGCCATTTGTTCTCTCCTACTTCTAAAATAATCATTCTAGTCAGAGTAAACATGCTCAAAGTGGCAGTCAATCTTAAGAATCATCTGAATTCTGTCAGAAAAATAAATTATAGAGGCATCATTTTTTTCAAAGTTGTGTGCTCTTTCTGCCTTGGCTGGTCACTGATAATTCAGACTGACTAATTTTGGAATACCTACTTTTTGGTACAATACTTTTTTATTCTCTATGCTCTCCATTAACTCTAGCAGCACTCTCACTAATTACATCCACAAAATTACTATATCATTGGTGTGTTCAGTCCATCAAGGTGTGGGAAGGAGGCAGGATTCAGTACTCACGGGATCTCCTTTATGCTAGGTCCAGATTATAAAGAGCTGGATGTTCACCTTCGCAGGATGGAGTCTGGATTTGGCTTCAGAATTCTCGGAGGAGATGAGCCTGGTCAGCCTGTAAGTTGAATCTTCTTTATCTTCTTTATTTTCACACTTCAGGCTATCTTGTGTGTGTGTGTGTGTGTGTGTGTGAGAGAGAGAGAGAGAGAGAGAGAGAGAGAGAGAGAGAGAGAGAGAGAGAGAGAGAGAGAGAGAGAGAAAGAGAGAGAGAAAGCACATGAGAGGAACTATCACTGTGAATGCCATCTGAAAGGAAATGTTTTAGGACGCACATAAAAAAATTAGGTTTGGGGGGCTTTTTTTGGTATTTAAGTTCTTAAAATATGTCAGTTTTTCTGGGCCTACATACCATCAATGCACATTATATGAAGAAAGGGACATTACTCTTTCTTAGAATCGTTTAAGTTTTTCTTGAATATTTTAATTATTTAATTGTTTTGGACCAACCACTGGTCTCTCTGGGCAGCAGCTCACAAGTAAACACACATGCAATATGACAGAAGATACATGTGAAGAGATGACCTGGAACAACAGAATTATGTGTGTTTTTAATCAAAATCCCAAGGGAGAGAAGACACTGGGTTAAACAGAAGCAAAAGCAAGCTCAATGCTGCAAAATTTCAACTCAGTTTGAACTAAGAGATTACCATGAAAAGATGTTCACAAAGTCAACTACAGTTGCACTATATTGGGAATTTGGGAAGTTTCTGGAGAAATTAGTCTTCCCTATAACTCATCTTTTATATTAAACTTACTTATGCATGAAGATTCATGCAAAAATGGGCCTTCTCCTTCCCCTGCCTGCCGGTACCACCTTCGCTTTCGGCAGAGTCGCCTTTTCACTATGGCCTGGAGCTGTCTTTCTGCCTTACCATGCTGCCCAGAGGCCCTGAGCAGCTGGGGTGGTGCAGAACACCACCGGCTGCTCGTCACTTGCACATGCAAATTAGCCCACCATCTTTATTGGGTTAATTTGCATACTCCTGATTGGCTGGTGGTCATGGTCAGTTTGTATCCTACTCTTTTATTAGTGTAGATTGGGATAATATTAGTTAATAACAGCATGTAAGTTTCAGGTATACAATTTAATAACACACCATCTGTACAGCACTGTGTGCTCACTACACAAAGTCTAGTGTCCTTCACTCTCTACCCTTCTGGTAAGCACCATGCTGTCCTAGAACTCATCTTAGTCTATATATAGAATTTTAAATAGTATCTAGTTCCTTCATATACTAAATATTTAGACTCTTGGCCTCTCCAGGATACTTTTCTGACTTAGTTTCTGATCGCTCTCTAACATGTTCATAGGCTTTCCATTTAGTTTAATTAGTGAGATTTTAAATTCCTTTAAAGCAGGACTTCATCTTTTCTTTTTTCTATCACCCTTTAGTGCCCCATGAATGAAAAAGGTGACATTACCCAGTTAGCCAAACTCCAGAGTAAGATCTCAATTCTCTAAACTACAAAGTTGAAGGAAGAATCTCTACAATAATGCCTTCAGTTCAGATACCAGCTGCAAATTTGGGGGTCCCCACAGCCTTCTCCAGATTCAATAATTTACTAGAACAACTCACAGGACTCAGGAAAGTGCTATACTTAGGATTACAGTTTTATTATAGTGAATGAGAACAAATTAGAATCATCCAAAACAAGAAGAACATGGGACCAAGTCTGGAGGGTTCTGAATATAAAGCTTCCATCTTCCTCAGGGACGTGTTACCATCCCAGCATTGATCCACGCAGGATGGCCAACCTGGGATGCTCACCCAAGTTTTTGAGTCCAGGGTTTGGGGTTTTATTATGTAAGCATGATTGATGGAATCATAGCCCAGATGGTTGAGCTCAACCTTCTAGAATGCTATCACTTGGCTCAAAGACCCAACCCGCTAATTACATGGCTGGTTGTTCTGGCATCGTCAGCTCCCAAGACTGTTGGTATGGCTGGCTCCACCCTGAGTCATCTCCTTCGCATGACCTATATCAGGTGCCCACCATGAGCCTCCTCACTAGCCTAAACTCTCAGGGGGCTCACCATGGAAACTAAGACACCCTTGGTCCAAGGTTATAGAGGTACCTTTCAGGAAAGGCCAGACCTCTCTTTGGACTGAAGCCAAATTCTTTATTACACAGCCAAATGCTGAACATGAAAATACCAAATGAACGAAACTATGTTCAAACTAGAACTAAGGTGATTTTTATAGCATTTTGTGGGATATTTTGTGATAGTTGAGACTTTTGTCAAGCATTTAAGGTTAAATCCTCATAGAACCCATTGTACTTAAAACAACATAATGCCTCAAACTTAACTTAAGGGGTCACCACCAGAAAGATGAGGTCTCTGCCTGTTCTAGGACACACTGACTGACACACTTTTCCCCCTTATCAATCTGTGAGCTCCTTGTAGGCAGGATTGTGTTTTGGCGGCACTAAGTGTCTCCCAAGCCTAGCACAAAGCCTGGCACAATAATTATTAGGTGGAATTTAAGAGAGTCCTTTTAACCAAACCAAAACTGTCACCTGAGCTTGTCAGAATAAGTATGATCTGGAGTATTCATATTTTGAGGCTTCTAATCCAGCAGGCTATGTAGAATTAAAATGACCTAATCCTTGGAAGTAGGGATATGTCCTGGTGACCTTACAGAATGCTTTATTTAGCTCTGCCAGTGCTTTAAAATTGCTATGCATCAACTAATCTCACATTTAAAAAATTCAAATTTCCAGCTTCTCTTGAAAAATACATCTGGCAACATTGAGCTTGCCTTTCTTCATGATAACTGGCTAGAATTAAGCAGTGGACCGTTTTAGACTAAGCATGGCCACAGTTCCCAAAACTCCAATGCCTGTGTTCCTCATTTTGTTTATTACCTCTGAACTCCCTTCCCAGAAGATTAGATTAAAAAAAATTTTTTTTGAAAGGTGAATATACTTTGCACCAAAGGACTCTTTAACCAGGGCCAGATTATGATTGTTTTGTTTTGTTTTAATATATTTTATTGTTTTTTGTTTGTTTGTATTTTACAGAGGAAGGGAGAGGGATAGAGAGTCAGAAACATTGTTGAGAGGGAAGCATCAATCAGCTGCCTCCTGCACACTCCCTACTGGGTATGTGCCTGCAACCAAGGTACATGCCCTTGACCGGAATCGAACCTGGGACCCTTGAGTCCACAGGCTGATGCTCTGTCCACTGAGCCAAACCAGTTAGGGCCAGATTATGGTTTTAATTGGCCCTAGCACTGAAAATATTATTGGGTTCCTTCTCTTCCATATAAATACAAATGAAGGATTAAGTTGTCAAATAAATGTAAGGGGAAAAACAAGAAAGTTTCCATTCTCTCTATGTTGCTTACTTCAATGCAGTGTTTTAAATACACAATTCTTATGTTGCTGTGCCTCCCCATAACCTCATGGTCTGCTTTGGGAATGAATTAGCACCATATTCAAGAAATACTGTCTTCACTGGCCTCCCTCTCCCTACAAGTAGTGGGGCTTACATGGCAGTCACAGGACAGGCACAGTCTCAGCTAATTCAGAAAGGAAGAGTTGCCCAGCACAGACTCCATAGAATTGATACCCAAATGGAGCATTGCTCAAAATGAAGCTCAGGAGTGCGGATGCAGCCATGGTCACCACCTAGCCTCAAGTCACCTTTCTACCTTTAGTGGGCAGGCGTCTAGTATTTATGATAAGCCTCCTCAGCTTACATGGATTTGCTTGTTATCCTCATTGTTTTTATTTAGGTTTATTCTAGCTTATTCTTTCATTCAAATGATTTAAGACACACTCAGGCTGCAAGTTACAATTCTGACAGTCCAGCCATAAAGTAGAAGCCTAAATCTCCCTCAAGCGGCAAAGCCCAAAAATAATGTCTTGAAGACCAGAGTATTGCACCTCAGAAAGGCCATATAAGGAAGAGCAAGCCTCCAGTAAAGGTCTCTCACGAGCCCTTCCTTCCTGCCTTCCTCCATTGTAAGTCCAAAGATAATATGCACACAAAATGTGCTGGCCTCATTTAATTGCTGGCAGGCTACAAAGGGAGAGGCACAGGAGGTGACTTGGTCCCCCACCACAGGAGGTCTCATAAATTACCTCAAATGGGTTTCGGCCTCCATATATACGAAATGGTATTGACATCTCAGGGTGCACATTAAATACGACAACACAGCTTATGGCAAATAATGAACAGCAGGACTCCAGCTCAGACAAAGCATAGGGGCATTTTTCCTGCTACAGGAAATACTTTTCACAGTTAAATAACAATAGAAATAGAAAGAAATGAAAAAGAGCCAGAAAGGAACAAAATGGAGGTTTCCAACTGTGAAAAGAGATGGAAAGACATCAAGATGGAGAGACTTGGGGAACACTGCAGCGGAGAAAAGCCTGTGAGGAGAAGACCTGTGGAAGAAAGAGCGAGGTAGTGACAGGCATACTCCTTGGTACAGGAGTCGGAGCACACTTGGGTGGGGAGGAGATCAGATTTGCTGAGATTGGACTAGCATGAAGTAGTGCAGGAAAGACTTAACAGGCCTGCCAACGTGGCTTTCATTTTGTTTCTTTATCATTTGTTTGTCTTTGTTTTCTTTTTCGTGTTCCTTTTTTGCCCCTGATTTATGGGGATATCAGACACTTGAATGTGAATTGCTATATCAAACATTCTGCTTTGTTCTGTCTCCTTACAACCTATGAAGCAAATTGGAGTTGACGAGTTGTTTATAATTCTTTTATTTTTTTAGAGAAGGCAATTGGAAAGATAAGGCCATTGGGTGAGTTGTTCTTTCAATATGTGTGTGTAATGGTAGGGGCCGGTGGGTAGGGAGAAGAGGGGGAAGAAGATCTTTCTTGATCTGTTTTGCCATAAAGCTCTTCCTTCAGACCTGAAGCAATAGAGACAGGGTAAGGAACTCCTCCAGGAACACTGAGAAAGCTGATGAGTGGGACTAAGGGTCTGCAGAGACTGAAGAATCCAGTGAGGCCAGAAGGAACGAGGCCAGTGTTGGCTGGGAAGGCTCAGTCAGCAAGCCCAGAAGGAAAATGTAGCCTGATGGGTCCAGGCCATGCACTCAAGGGGGCATCCCTCAGCAGACCTGGAAAGTGACCAGTGTGTCTGGGCAGGGAGTTGAGGCGAGGCACCAGAGGGAGAGTCCTTCAGCGGACTTGGAACATGACCTTGAGACCACAGAGCTTCTGGCCATTGGACCAAGTGGGAATAATCAAAATGCTGCTACTCAAAGTGTGATAACAGACCAGAAGCACCCAGCATCCCCTGGGAGCTTGTTAATTATATATAACTAGAGGCTCGGTGCACGAATACATGCACTGGTGGGGTCCAGCCAGCCCACCCAGATGGGACCCAATCAGGGGTGGGGCCACGGTCATTCCAGTCATTTCAGATGTCCTGTCATTTGGTCTCTGGGCTTTTATTATATAGGATATATATATGCATAGAATAATTATACAATATTATATATTGAAGTATTATATTGAATACATACAGTTTATGTAGATATTCAATTGAAGTATTAATTGAACATAGTTTATTTATAAGTAAATATGACATATTTGATCCAACAAACTAAAGGTAGAAGATTCAAGTTTCACATTTTTTGAAATGTGACTGGTGAATTTCAGTCTTTGCTCAAATGTCCACTTCTCACTGAGGCCTGCTCTAATCAACTCTAGCACCACCTCAGCCATGTGGCCGACACTCTTCCACCACCCAGCCTTGCTGTATTTTTTCATAACACATGCCTGCTAAATATAACAAAGACACACATTTATATTTATGGAGGCTCTGTAGGGCAGGACTTTTGTGTATTGTTCTCTGCTAGATTTCTGGCACCTAAAAGTGTCCTTGGGCTCCATGAAGATTTGCTGGATTAATGAATTAATTAGAGAGGAGAGTGCCTCATACCAAAGCAGTACAGCAGAAAAGCAGCTTGCCTGGGATTTTTCTAGTAAAAGATGATGTGAAACTAATAGCACAGAAAATAACTTCAAGTGTATCTGTGTATCTTTGCTGTTTTCCTTTAGCAACAAAGGAATAGGAGTTTTCCTATGTGAAATTTATTTTTACAACCTTTAAGAGGGCCCATTTGCAGCTGTGGCTCCCTCCGTTGTAACCTGTTTCCTGGTTTGCTTTGATCAGTAAGAATCAAAACTACAGCTTACGTTGATAATTACCCAGCCAGGAAGTTCACAGGCCATGTATTTTCTACCTATAAACCCTCCCACTGTAGCATACAGGAAATCTGGAGGTGAAGCATTTTCTTTGGGTAACCCTGGTAAGTGCAGCTTTTTACGGGGCAGGGGAGAAATAAACATTCATTTTAATTGGTTTTGCACAAAGCACTTAGCAAATCTTTGAAAAGCTGCTCAGTGGATTGAGACTTTTGAAGAATAGATTGGAACACCTCCAAAAAGAAACTCATAAATTCAGATTGGCTTGACAATAAGGGAAAGGGGAGAATGTCAGAAACATGCCCGCCACTGGACTCTAGCAAGTGGACACAAAACCACCCTGCACAGCCAATCTAAGGTAGGCATGGGAGGCCTTTCCTGTGAGATCCATAATGAACAGCTCATCGGAGCACCACTATTCAACACAGAAGTACATCTACGCCTCACTTCACCCTCCAGGAATACATGAAAAGGAGCGGCAGTGATGGGGAATTTTCATTCCTCTGTGGACCAAAGGAAAAAGAAAATTCTCCAGACTATAATTTTGCATATACCTGAGAAGTCCTGGGCATTACGGTCTGGTTGCCATGTTGACAGGCCGCCCTGAGCAGTGGGACCAAGTAGAAAGAATGGATGCGCTGCCGGTCTGAGGCTATGAAGCCTGCAGGTCACAATGCAGCAACTCTGCCCATGAGCTGGAATCCACAGATTTGAAAAGAAATTCTGGCACCTGAAAGAAATCAATCTGTGAGCAAGGGACCATTTAATAAAGATTTAAAATGAAACCTAGAACATAGGCCCTGTAACATTATCAGGCTTAGGGTAACTACTGCATTTAGATGCTGTGTGGCTAGGCCACTTGGCAAAAGAAGGATGTCCTTTGTTCATGAGTTAGAAAAATTGTTTATAGGTTAAACAGCAAAATTAAAATTCTAAGTACTATTATCTTTCTTCTGCGAAAGACAAAAGCCTTGCTAATGGGCACTAAGTTGAGTGTTTCTAATGGAATTTGGGAAACCTCATTTTATGCCTTTCTTCACCATCTCTGGTTCAGGGAAATGCACATTTCCCAGATGTACTTCCTTGTTTCCTGGCATGGTAGCCACCTCAGCAGCAGAGCTTTTTTAGGGAGCAGGCAGGACTAGAATGCCCTTTGTGCCAAGGACGGTGCTTGAAAGAAGCATTAAAGGAAGGAAGTGAAATCTTAAGAAGATTTTACTGAAATTAAAAAAAAAACACACACACACATTTTATAAATATACAATATTTTTATTGATTTCAGAGAAAAAGAAAGAGGGAGAGAGATAGAAACACCCATGATGAGAGAGAATCATGGATTGGCTGTCTCCTGCAAGTCCCCCCTGGGGATCAAGTTCACAACCTGGGCATGTGCCCTTGACCGGAATGGAACCTGGGACCTTTCAGTTTGCAGGCCAATGGTCTATCCACTGAGCCAAGCCAGCAAGGGTGAGATTTATTTTAAGTAAGTCAACTAGCCAGGAAAAACCAGCTATGAGTTTTGCTTCATTTTACTTACCTTCCCCTTTTCAATGTCAACCAAACAAACAAAACATACTTTGAACCTTTATCAGAGTTTTTTTCATATAAATATATTTTTTTATTTCAGAGAGAAAGGGAGAGGGAGATAGAAACATCAATGATGAGAATCATTGATCTGCTGCCTCCTGTATGCCCTCTACTGAGGATCGAGCCTGCAACCTATGCATGTGCCCTAACCAGGAATAGAATCAGGACCTCCTGGTTCATAGGTTGACACTCCACCACTGAGCCATGCCGGCTGGGCTTTATCATGTACAGCAGCTATCCCATGTTTCCCCGAAAATAAGACATCCTCCAAAAATAAGACCTAGCGCATGGAAAGATAAGACATCCCCTGAAAATAAGACGTAGCGCAACTCTGGGAGAAAAAAATTAATATAAGACACTGTCTTATTTTCGGGGAAACAGGGTAGTTTCCCCTGGCATTTGTGGAGCTCTCACCAGGTGCCATGAGCAACGTTAAATGCTTCCCAGGCATTATTTCATTCAACTCCCACCATTTTGCAGGTGAAGAAACTGAAGCTCACAGGGTGAAGAAGCCTTGCCTAAGGCCATACAAATAAGAATTGGAGCCAGGAGTCAATCCCCAACTTGTCTCAATTCAAAACCTAGCCATAGTGGCCAATAGCACCAGATTACTTGGGGTTAGAATTTTCTTACGGGTGATAATTTATGAGCCAGGCAGCAAATGTTCCCCAAACTTTATGGCCAATGGCAGCAGCGAGTCAAAACTTATATTTCTCTAGAAGGAGGTAGCAACCTGGAAGATTTGGAAGGGCGCCCCTTAAGCCTCTCATTTTTCAAGTACCTGCTCAGGTTTGAGCAAGGGATAAACTGTGGAAATAAAATCTTCCACCAAGTTTTTACATACTTCTATGAATATAAAAAATGTGAAACATGCATGCCCTATTCTCACTGCTTCTCTAGATTTTGATTGGAGCCGTCATTGCCATGGGCTCAGCCGACAGAGATGGCCGCCTACACCCTGGAGATGAGCTCGTCTATGTCGATGGGATTCCAGTGGCTGGCAAGACCCACCGCTATGTCATCGACCTTATGCACCACGCAGCCCGGAACGGGCAGGTCAACCTCACTGTGAGAAGAAAGGTGCTATGTGGAGGTATGTAACTCAAGGCAGCAGCAAGAGTTGGAGGCGAGGTGGTGAGATGTCTCTGTGAGACGGGCTAACAATGCTTGAAACAAAATTTTTAATTCGTTTCTATATTATATGAGGGGAAAAAACAACCTAGATATTCTAAATGTGACTGATTTTAAAAGTGCAGATTTTCACCCCGCGGATACCATTCCAAGCAGACTTTGAGGCCTACATTTTCAATGCAGTCATTAAAATTTCCCAGCAAAGCCTGGAGCCCATTTAAGATGTGTATGTTCTTTGCTCTTCGGTAAAGCTAGTTATAAAAACATTAAAGGAGTGAAAAATATGGCTTTTGAACATGTTCCTCATTGTGTTTACAAACCAAGAACCACAGCATTTTCATAGCATAATAAGGCAACAAGGATGGAAAATTAGCTTCCATTGTAGAGCCTGATAAAAAGTAACAATAAAATCATTACCCTGATTTACAGAAATATAGCTGCATGTCACTTTGAGGAAACACAATTCATATAACTCCAAACTTATGAAACAGATAAATTAGAAGGAATTATTCCCTTTGCATCCATTTTCCCAACTTCAGAAAAGAATCCACCCAAGATATTTTCAAAAGTCAGTCCTCAGAGTCATAATGTGATTCAGTTTCTCTCTTCACCATCTCAGCTCCACAAAAGATATTTATATTTTAAGGAATATGCCTGTTACAAATATCACGCTATTTCTTGTAACCCGAACATGCAATAGCATTGGGAATGTAGTCCCACACCACCTGCACTTGGCCCAGGGGATCACCGGAGCAGCAGCGCCAATACTATCTTGTCACCCCTGCCACCGTGACCTGCTGGCTTTCTGCTCAGCCCCTGACTGTTCCTTGTACAGAATGATGAATGCTTGAATTAGGGGGGCCCTTAGGCACAGCAGCTCCCTCATGTTACAGATGAGAAGATGGAGACCAGAGGCACAGTCGCCTGTCCAGTAGCCCGCAGAGACAGCGATGATGCAGGCTCACCTCCTGGCCAGGACTTAATTTTTATACCACTTCCAGTCCCCTCTTCGCTCTATCACCATCTCCACCCGCAACCTTGAGCAAATGTCACTTCCAAACATAAGGAGAAGGAGTCTTTCATAGGTGTTGTTATTATTATAACACATTTGAATTTAAGAATGGCCACTGGCTAATCACAGGCTGTGCGTGATTCAGGAGGCTGAAGTTTATCAGTCAAACAAAAAAATCCTTTTCTATTCACGTCTTCTAGAAACTAGACTTTGAGGAAGGGCCATCGTTTAAAAGGGCAAGCCAGAACTGTCAGCCCTCACCAGTAGAGACTGCTCTATATCTCATACAGAGATTTTGCTAGGAAGTGTCATTCGTCTGCAGAAATTCCTGCCATACCACTTGACCCAAAGAAGTAAAACACTTAGAATGATCCTCATTCTTGGGCAAGATGCCAGAAGGAAGGCAGTGTTTTCTTGATTAATACTTAACTGTCTCTCTCTACCCACAGTGTGATTTTCAATAAAATGTTTGCTGTGCTATATGTTCTGTAGCCCAAAGATAAATTAAAAAGATACCTGGTTTACAAGGAAATACATTGCAAAGTGCAAAACCAGTGCACCCACATAATTTTACACTCTTCTTGCCACCAGCTGATTATTGCAAGTTAAATTTTTGCTCTAATCAACCCCAGCTATTGGAGTATATGCCAAATACTGCAAAAACGTATTCTTGCAATTTGTGGATCACGTGACTTCCATTAACGATGCTCTTTGCTGCAGTTCTTACCAATTTTATTCATGTAGGCTTTGAAGTGCATTTCAAGTGCATTTAATTTTTGAAGTTCTGCTGCAGACTGCTCATTCTCACCAGGAGAATTTCCAAGTTAACTCAGCTGACTCTTCCTTGAAAGCTTCATCAGTACTGAAAATGATTAAGTTCAGCAAAGGATTCTTTGATAGTAAAGTAAATGCCTAGATTTAAAAAAAAAAAAAAAAAAAAAAAAAAAACACACACACACACACCTTAGGCAGACTGCATTTCCTCATAGTGGCATTTCTTTAACAGTGAGAAGGGGCAACTACAAGTGACAGTGGAGATGCCTTTTTAAGGGTTGTTGTTATCATTATTATTTCGTTTTCCTAAGCAAAGGCAGTGTCAGGTACAAGGCTGGCATATGATGAGATGATTGAGAGCTGAGGGGAAGTAAGAAATCAGCTGTGAAGAGACAGAAGATGAGCAAGAAGAGGGGCAGTGCTGCCACCTTTTTGCACAAAGGAGCAACATTACAGAGAATCTGGGGAGAAGGGAGGTCACACAGATCATGCCCTTCAGCCATGTGCTTGCTGCGGCTTGCACACCTGTCTTGCCCACCTCAGAAGACATTGGGCACTGGCTTCCTAGTGGATGCTCAAGACAAAACACATCCATTATAAAAGATACAGATGGTGAGTTACACTGGGCAAAAATTAAAGTAACACAAAAACCTGCTCCAAATATCGAAATATAAAAAGGCATACAATTAAGATACAGAAAAGAGTTCAAATATAAAGGCAATATTTTCAATTGGGCAATGGCAAATGAGAGCCTCAAAAATGAGAAAATGTGGAGTAAAGGAAGGAAATATACAGCAATGTATCCAGTTTTCTTTACCGGATAATTTTAGCACAGATCTTGCGCCTTAAACGGGTTTTAAGATGGCATCTTACTTATGCCATCAGACCTGATATTTAGTTGTTTTTTTTCCCAAGGATAGTGGAAGAATGCCTTTAATTATTCCACTGAAAGTATAAATATTTATATATTCAGTATCTCAGTTTGAGATGTTTATCCTAATGACACGTTATTTTGAATCCACACTATTTGTCTGAGAGAAGGGTGTTTCTGAGGAATTTCCTAAAGTGTAAATCTAGAACTGACGTGAACGTTTTATGACTTAATCAAAACATATTAGAGTCCGCCTTAAAGCTACCAGTATCTTTTCTCCAACATCTATGGGACCGTCTAGTTCCTGTCCTAATGCCGAGAAAGGGAAGGCTTTCCTGACAGCGGGGTGGGAAGTTTAGCCAGTATTTAGGGAGCCGCTGGATTCCCTGGTCATAGTTACTACACTTTCTGTCAGTTCAAAATACATTTTCTTATTCTTTGTCTATCAGCCTGTCACCCGTTTAAATAGGTTGTCTGCCTTGGTGAGTGTAAACCAGGAGTGCACCAACACAAATGCTTGCAGGTAGGCCGGCTCCTTACAGCATAGCCACAGCCTGTGGCTGCCCTCCTCCATCAGGCCCCTGAAGGTCCACATGCATGAGGACACTCCAGCCCCCATGTCCGCGCTCTGTCCACATACAAACCCCACTGCCTGGGCCATGCTCCAACACAAGACACATGCATCTACAGTGCTGTCATCCGCTGGGGGACAATCCTTAAAAAAGGTTCAGTATACCCCGGAAGCAGGCAAGGTCTTTTTGGTGTCAGGGTCCTAGAGTCCTGGCACCCAGCGTGTGATCTAGAAGAGGAACAAAGCCTCCCATTGAAGGAGTCCCTCTGGCCCTGCATACCCCTCCCTCTATGGTTCAGGAATTTGCAAGAGACATTGGGGAAGAGTTGGGACTGTGATGTCTTGCAAACTATATACCCCAGCTCCAGGAATCACTACCAAGTATTTCAAGAGAAACTGGAAATCTAGATTTCTGTAAAATCTGCCAGTTTTACAACATTGACAATCAATTCTAACAACTATGGGCCTGGAATAAATGGGTCTGCTGGCCAGGAGTTGACTGTTTTAGTCAAAACATCTCACCTGGATGGCCTTTCCCAACAGAGGCCCTCTCCCGGTCAGCCGATGATGATCTCTAGTATAACTGGTCAGGACAAAACAGAAGTTTCACCTAAAAATTGGTTATCTGACTTATGTAGATACTAAGAGGCTGAATTCTGTACATTCATTTGTGTGTGAGACAAAAAGAAGATGAGTCAGGAAGTTAGTGAATTAAAAACATGCACATGGCATTTAGCCACTCTGGTGACATTTTACTGCATTATTCTAAAACAATGATGTCCATGCCCGACACCAGGAAGGGTTGATGGAGAGAAGAGTCTCATGTGGACACAGAGCCAGCTGAGAAGAGAAAAGGATGTTAAGTCAACTCCATTGGTCAAAATCATTCATTGGAAGTCTTCACTCCCTGGCTTTAAATGTGTTCATGTTGTTAAAGATAAAGAACGTGGTTGTAGACGTTGACAGGGAAGGCCCACAGCAATAGAAAAGTGTCCTGTCAATGTAATTACCCAGGGGCTGCCCACCACTCATGTTGGCTTAGCCCATGATTTCCTCTCTCCCCTAGAACCTGAGGCATAGCCACTCGCAGCCATTTATTGCCAAGATAGATAATTTTTCTTTGTTGCTGTTTTACTGACAACCAAGCGCTCAACCCCCTAAAATATGACAGCCAGAAAATGAGATCTCTCTTGTCACTGCCTATGACATTTAGTTACTTATTTGCTCCAGTAACTCAGGGGAATTTTCAATTTAATGTTGCAACGTAATAATTGTTTGTTTTTCTTCTTCCTGACTATCTCTAATCACTTTATTTCCAACGCGCAGAAGGACTGATAAAGGACATGTGCTTCACCAAGACAATAACTGCGTGTCTTTGGGTGATGTTTTGTAGCAGAGAGGGTACATTTTACAGGCAGTTTTAATTTGATAGAAAAGAGGGAAAGGCTTTTAACCTTGGCATTTTGTTCTTTTATGACTTCGGTGCATTTCTTACAGATGAAAAGCATCCATTTGTTTCCTTCTATTAAAGCCTGATTAATTAAATCTTACCCTAAAATCAAATTTATCAAATGATAACAAACAGCAGCCTCGATTTTATTCAGTAATTACAAACAAGAAGTAAATGCTTTTTCATAAGCCCATTTCTAATCTGGGTATATGAATGAATGCAGCTTCTTTTCCTTAAGGTATCTGTGTAACAGAACCTTTCTTATAGTCTGTTCTTCCTCCCTGATTTTTCCATTTCAGAATGGAATTGCAGCTTATAAAGTTAAGAGCTTTCATTTAAGCCTTTGCTAATTATTTTTAACTAGCTATACAAGACACTTTCCAGACTTCTAAATAGGAGACCAAATCTAGCAACCCCCACCCCAAAAAAAAATCATTAATTGTGATTCTTTCCCATATCCTGCTGTTCCATAATGTCTTTTTAGTACACTAATTATATTGTAAGATGGAGATGAAACAGATTTCTTTCTAATTACAGTATTCTAGGTTCCCACTTCAGCTCTTTTAATCAAGATACCATTACCTAGATATTAAATTAAAATGACAACATTCTTTCTAGATGACATATCAACTTTCAGTTTAAAAACTAGCTTCTCTTGGCTGCCAACTTTCTATCACTTTGCTCTGAGAATATGCTTGCTTTCTCGTGGAAGTAGTGATCTGGTTTATCTGATTGATAATAGAGTGCGTTTTTTAATAACACAGAATGTAAATGAGCCACGCCTTCAACACTTCCCTTAATGACTCAAAAGTCATTGCTCCTTAGCCTGATAACATTGTCAGATCCTGGAGTAAGCAAACTACTTTAAGAAGGATGATTCCTACCTGCAAGAAGTGAGCACACCCAGGCTAACAGAACATCACAAAATTAAATAAAACCATGGCTCCTTAATAAAATGTTGATAGGTCATTTTACACAAAGACATCCCCTGGGCTGTTAGCCCCACTTCCAAGATTCCTACAGCAGCAGCTCTCAAAGTGTGACCTTGAACCTGCATCCAGATTCCTGGGCCCAGTCTTCCCTAGATCTACTGGGGGGAGAGGGGGGGATTTTTTTTTTGCCATGTGTGGACTCTGAAGATATTTCTCGCAAACTCTTTCAGCAATTTGTGTTCCCAGTACCATTTAAGATTCTGCCCACTTGTGTTATGATCTTCTATGATCAAGTATTATTATGCAACTAAGGAGCTCGCTTCCTATAACTTGACATTGTCCTGGGGGGACTGCCGTCTTAACAAGGGGAAATGCAAACAGTTAGGAAGTTGAGGGGTTTGGGCTCTGCACCTCTGGGGGAGGTGGGGGGCGGGGGGGGGGAGAGACAGAAGCCCCTCAACCAGTCTTCTCCCAATGCCGGTACCTAGAACAGTGCCCAGTACCCAGGAGGTACTCACCCAGACCTTGTCAGATAACCAAGTGCTACTACCCTGCGTTGTTGCAGGGGAGCCCTGCCCAGAGAACGGGAGGAGTCCAGGCTCCGTGTCAACCCACCACAGCTCCCCCCGCAGTGACTACGCCACCTACTCCAACAGCAACCACGCGGCCCCCAGCGGCAGCGCCTCTCCCCCTGAGGGCTTCGCTTCCCACAGCCTGCAGACCAGCGACGTGGTCATCCACCGGAAGGAGAACGAGGGCTTCGGCTTCGTCATCATCAGCTCCCTGAACAGGCCCGAGTCCGGATCCACGATCAGTAAGTGGCTGCTCCGCCTGCCTTTGAATGGGGAGATTTGTTTTATTTTGTTCCGGTGGTGGGGATGCTGACAAGCAGATGGGAGGACTGGGGGAGGAAAGGCACAGGCTGTGGGTGGGCACAGAGAAGCATCCTGAACACTGATGAGCCAAATGCTGCTGACCTTTGGCTCAGGTCGAATGTAAGACCACAATCCAGCACGCCCATAAAGGTTCCTCCCTCATTTTGAACTGGAAAGAAAATGAAACAGAGTGAAGTGGGAGTGCAGGTGTGAGGGGAGGGGTGCACCTGGGCCATTGGGTGAAACCAGGTTGGCAGAGGATTGGAGAGAGCAGTCTGAGCAAGGCCTGAGGTGGGAAGGAGCTCAGCATCAAAGACACACACACAGAAGCCCGGTGGCTGTGGCCGAGGGGACAGGGAGAGAGCAGGACACCAGTGTGCTGGGCAGGAGCCAGGGCACAGGGCTTCATACGCCCATGGGCAGAAGTCTGGATTGTGGTCTAAATTGTTGGGGCCACTGGAAGGTTTTAATCAATGGACAGAAACCTGATTTATATTTTTAAAAGATGAGCCCCGCTTGCTTGTGAGAAATGAAATTGTGGGAAGCGAGCAACAGTGGAAGCACATGCCCTGGCAGGTGTGGCTCAGTTGGTTGGGTATCATCCCATGCACCGCGAGGTTGCAGTTGGATTCCAGGTCAGGGCACATGCCTGGGTTGCAGGCTTGATCCCCAATACGGGGTGTGATGAGGCAGCTGATTGATGGTTCTTTCTCATCAGTGTTTCTCTCTCTTCCCTCCTCTTTCTCTTACATAAATAAAGGCATATTTTTTAAAAAGAGTGGAAATACAAAGCCGTTAGGAGCCATTAAAACAGCTCTGTGGGTTCAGGGATGGTGGCCCTTCCCCTTGGGTATTAGCAACATGGGCGGGAGAAATAGAGGGCTTCACCTCCTGGGACTCCTTCAAATCTGAGGAGTCCAACAGGTGACAATCACAGGTCATATTTTTCTTCCAGTCAATCATCTCTGTAGATACAAAGGCGTTCTTGAAGGTTTTCCTTTCAGCAGTCCTACTCAGAAGTTTCTCAGCAGCCAGGACAGAGAGGTGATGGGAACACTTGTTCATTTATAACGCTGTCGTCATTTGGCCCATAATGTTGTGGGTACAAACACCAGAATAGAAAGCATTAAGAGAAAAAATAATTGAGTCACGTGGTGCCTAAAATTCTTATAAATTGTGCTTGTTTCCAGCACATGGTTGGGAAGAGAGTTGCGTGCGTTAAACAATACTCAAGAAATAAAAACGTTAGAAGGAATAAGAACTTTTTATGACAAAGTTCATGTTATCAAAACACCACCAGAACTAAATGGAGAGAATTATCCTGATTAGCTTTAGCTTTGACAAACTCAAGAGTGAAAACTAGAGAAGCATTAAGTCTCGGTGAGGATGTGCAGAAGCTAAATGACATCCGTGTGAAAGTGCAGTTTCATTTCTCTTTTTCTTCGTGATAAGCTGAAGAAATAAATTCAACCTTAATGCGTAGAGCAAAAGCAGAATTCTGTCAGTAGAGTGGATTCGCCAAGATTAAAAGGACACAAGACTAAAGATTTTCATAAGTTATATAAACAGTCTTCCAGTAATTTATACTTGGAGGAAGTGTTTACAGAGAACTTTTGTGACCATTCCAGTCATTCACATAACTTATTGGAGAAGGATATATAAAGAGGTGGAATTAAAATAAGTGTACTGCCACAATGAAAGTGTTAAGCAGTCTTAGGGTCTCAGCTTTATTTGAAGTGTGAGAGGATTGTAGCTGAATGTATAGGGGAGTGTGTGTGTGTGTATATATACACGCATGCACTTATTTCATATAGAAACCACAAATGCTTCTTCTATTGCAAATAAAATTCATACATGGGTAGATTTGGAAAACAACAGGTACAAATGCTTACAATCAACATGTGAATTTTTCCTTCCGACCAAAGTGACATTATACCTCCAAAGAGTAATTCTAGCCATTTTCAAAATGGCATTATTTTACATCACCCTGGAGAGTGGAAATACATTCATGATGCCTCCTGGCTTCCTTTTCCTCATATTTATTTCTTTTCAATGGAAGGCGTTTGAAAGGCAGGCTGCCCCGTGTGCTGTGGGAAGAGCAGTGATTACACGGATGGCAGGCGGCATTTACAGAACATAATTGGCCACATGCACCTATAAGGTTCTTGGACCTGATGCTGTTTCATACTTGTGCAATAATTTTGAACTTGTAATTTTGGAAAGAAGTGCTAAGTGCCTCCTGAATGGAAAAGGGCCCCCTCTCCATGGTCACCTCTCAGGGGCTCTGGGAGAGCAGGAGAGCGTGATGCTCTCAGGTTCTCAGGAGTCATGGTCATTCTCAGGGTTTGTGTCATTTTCCTCTTGGTGTCTTCCCTGAGCCCAAAGATCCTGAACACAAGTGTGGTTTTTCTCACGGCTGCTGAAGCCTTTCCGTTGGCAGGCAGAATGCTGTCATGCCTTCAACAAGCCTGCCATCACTTTTAGGCAAGGGAAGGGTGTGGTGAACAGCCAGGAGCTACAACCCTGCTGCCTGGATGTGAAACCTGGCTCATCATCCATCAGCTGTGTGACCTTAAAGAAGATACATGACCTCTTTGGGCCTCAGTTTCCTCAGTTGTCAACAGAGAGTCATTTTAATAGCTGTGCCATGGCATTGCCGTGAGGGTACACGGAAGTGCCTAGAATACTCGAGGCACCAAATATGTCATTGTGCTCTCCTGATCACCATCCCTGCCGCTCACACCTCTTAGATAGCACAGCTCAGGGAGAGCCCAGAGCAGCAAAACCTGGGCAGCAGATGAGCATCCCTGAGAGCCAGCTCCCCTCCCCAGATGCTGGCTTCTGGGAGCACGGTCTTCCCCAACCCTCAACCCCCTGCTGCCCGGGTCAGCAGTGGGGACAGAGCAGTGGCAGCCTCACCAGTCCTGCTGAAGGTACCCTGGCTGAGGCTTCAGGCTGGAAGCCTCCCCAGAATTCACTAGGTAATCAGCTACAAAGGTCATGGGAAACATCAAAATTCAAGCTCAAAGCTGTGCCCACAAGCATGTTCCTTGGAGAGGTGAGATGAAGAGCCCAATGGAAACCTCCCAGCCTGCGCACAGAGAATCACCGTCCATACTTCCTCAGCTCAGGGGCCAACGCTGCTGGCGATGCCAGATGTTTAACAAACTGAGAACTTGGGAGGTGAGATTTGGGGTTTACTATTGCCTGCCATGGCATAGGGCTCTTTACCAAAGCCTCACCCTTCCCCCCTTCCCCCCCAAAAAAAATTCTTTTTCCAGAAAATAAAGAGGAAATTTTCTTTATATCAATGAATGTAATTAAGCAGCACACTACCCTCCAAAGCCAGTGACCCAGGAGGCCAATTATTGTCTGGAGCAAGAAGATCCCTATGCCGGGTGCAGGAATGGCCTTCTTGATTTAAAGTGAGAATAAGCAAGCTTCCTGAGCGTTTTTTGTCCCATTTTCCAAAATATTACCTATTTTTTCAGACCTTGAAATTGGACCCATGGGAAAACAAAGTGGTTTTCAGAATGGAGCCTGGGATAAGAGTAAACTGTAGCAGGGAACTGCACTTTTTAATTCTTAAAAAGCAAAGATGTTCATTGCCATATTATTGGTAAACAGAATATTGGAAGCCATGTTAGATGCTTCTCAAAACCTAGACATTTTGGTATATGTGGGAAGCATTGTCACTCTCACAAAGGTCTGTGTACACAGGGTACAAGGCTGGGGTAGTCTTCTGAATCCCAGTGGGTGGGATGCCTGCTCTATGAAACTGTCCCTGTGGCGATGGCAGTGGGGGTGACAGGTTGGTCTTTGGGTATCCCCAGCTCAAGGCTGAGTCCTGACATGTAGGTTTTATTGCATAATTGTAACCTAATCCTTATTGGTATTTCCTGATCTCCCCCAACCCCCACCAGATGTTCCCAAGAAGTGCTTTGGCACAAATGATGGCATAAAAGTAGCACTTAGTCACCTGCTTTTCTGTAATTTCTTAGGAAGGTTATGTCGAAATGTATGGGGTAGACGTACATGGGCAGCTTGGGCCCACATGGTGGAGGCTGGCACCTGTGAGGAAATTTATACCCATAGAAATGCATGCCCACAACAGGCGCTGTGAGGTAGAACCGATTCAGGCCGTAATCTCAGCCATCAACAATAAGGGAGAAATCATGTCAACCCTTCCTTCTTTCATTCCTGTTGTCCTGGCAGCATTGACTCCGTTTCTGTGTCTTTATTTGTAAACACATCACTGGCCAGCACCCTGCTGGCTTCTGACCATCTTCCAGCTCCGTGCTGGCACTGCAGATCTTTGTTTCCATGTGGGTGCTGTCTTTGGCAAAGATTGGAGCACAGACTTGATTGTTGCTGACTTTTTTGTAGGGCCCACTGCACACCAGTATTCTAGCAGAGAGTTCATCCTCTTCGGTGAAATGCCCTCAAAGTCCTTGGTGATGTCCATAGGCTCTGGAGGTTCAAAGTTATTCTAGAAATTCAAAATTGTAGCTAGCAAGTCTTTTATGGCCTTTTAAGAAAGGATGAGATAAAACTGAACAAGGAGTGAAGCAGATAAACATTTTTTTTTCACCAAAACTTCTATTACCAACCATTCAGCCAATGAAAAGTCAAACTTAGGGGAGATACAAATTAAAACCAAAGTCAATGTTTCTATTGTCTTGACCTAATACAGGAGCTTTACACTAAATAGCAGTGTATTGGATAACAAGCCCACTCACTGTGGTATTCCTAAGCAAGTCACTTGGTCTTCCTATGCCTTTTCCTTGCTTAAAATATAAGGGGAAATAGTCTGAATGGCCTCTTCCAGCTCTGAAATAGCTCACGCCAGGATTCAGCATGAAAAATAAGCTATTGGTTTAGTTTTGTCTGTGCTTACAAAGCTTTGGGTCAGTCTGAGGCTTGGGTCTATATTTTTTAT